TAATGGCGCAGTAATTAAAGATTTGGTTTTAATAGCACATACAATATTAGATTTGATGATATAATAGGATTCATAGCTATAGTATTTTTATATATTTTTATTATTTTTTAGGTGGTATTTAGCTGTGCAAAAATTCCATGTATTGATTGTAATATACACAGTATAAGATGTATATAGCAATCCAGCAAGCCCTCAGTGAATGCTATACATGGCCTGTCCATTAGTCAACGTCTGACGTTAGAGGGCTAATTAGCTTTCCACTGACAGTTTCATCTGTCGGAATCTGGGTGTAGCAACATACACATTTGACCCCATTAAGATGGCCACGCACATGCGGACTCCAATAAAATGACGGCCGGCATATATATATATATATATATATATAGCAGCAATAGTTGTGATGTCCAATCATATCCCCCTGATGAAGTCACGTAACACGTAGGGGAGGGGCTCTGACATCACGACGTTGTCTTGGACACAGCACAGCATGGCAAGCATAGCAGAAACTGCAGGACAGGCTGAAACTGCCTTACTTTGAAGCCTATGCTAAAAACTCTGTATGGAACTTGCAGCAGCAAATAAAGCCTTAATTTTGAAAGGATAAAGCACTATGATGGTTTTGTTTCTTCATACAATCATCCTGTGATATATTGGAGAGAAATCAGTATAGGAGGAAGGAGACCTTTGGGAAGAAAAAAAACGAAATATCCATCCAGCCATCAAATCCTGATCAGCAGCAGGCATAATCACTCCAGAGATCCCAGGTGGATTAAGATCGAGCATAATCATCCCATTTTCCATCAGGAATATCCTAAGCAGGAGGATCATCCCAGCAGTCCTATAAGGACAAAAAGCTAGTTTTGCCTTTTTATAAGGCAAAACCTGAGGTGAGCGCATAATAAAATCACACTGCACGTGGATTAGGGGAGCGGCATTGCACCATCATAATTTAAATTGAAAGAGGACTGTCTATGAGCACTTTTTCATATATATTGTTTTTATCACTATCACTATTTACTATTGTCACCAGCACAGTATGCGGTATTTATTGATGATGTTATAAGCAGAAGATAATTGTATTTTATACACTAGATATAAGTATATATATTATTTTATTATTTTTTTTAAAAAAATTTTCTCATTGGATTGTCATTTGAAATAGTGAATATTGTAATTATTTATACACAGGAGCGCAACACAATTTATATATTTAATTTTCTTACAATTGTATAGCTAGTTCACCCTGTGTGACTCACAGTGCTGCTGCATCTGGGTGAAGGTTCATCTGTATCCAGGTAACCAACGAAGGTTTTGGGTTGACAGTATGGAGTCATGCAGATGAGCAGTATGAATATGGATGCAGCTTCAGTCAATTACAGGGAGTGGTGCCCCTAAGCATGCTGGGTGCTGGTATTTATATTCAGTGAGCACATGGGATCTGGGTTCCTCTTCTCCTGAGAAGTGAGTTCCAGCCAGGGTTGAGGCAGCTGCCTCCCCTGGCACATTCTGCCAGGAGGTTTTGGGTGGGTGACCAGAACGCTGAAACCCAGCGTGCGTCTGAGAGCTGACTGAGGGGGATGTCTCCAGATCCTGTCTAGTATCATAGAGGAAAGTGACCTGCAGCGAGGACCTTGTGAGTACAGACTATCCTAAACGGATCCTGGGACTTGTGCTGTTTAACCCCCTCTAGCTGCTGGGTGTAATGTAGAAGGGACACCAGCTGGTGTCCCGAATTACAACTGACCATTTAGTTTCTACATTTCTACAGAAGGATTTTGCTCCATTCTTTGTACAGTCTGCTACACAGTTCTGCTAAGAGAACCTACAGACCCACTTAGAGAAAGCTGTCCTCAATTGTGAATAGTTCAATTTGGAGTATACCACTATATTCCTTCCCTATCCCAGTTCTGCAACAAAATAAAAAACAACAAAAAACTACAACCACCTAGACTGATCATTGGAGTAAGTAGCAGAAGCTGTGTGTACCTGGCTATAGGAAATACTGTGTGCTTGGCTTGGCTGCGAGTGAAGATTTGGGGGAAAGCCTGGGTAAAATACCAGCAGCTCTTCAGGGTGTAGTGCTACACTTAGGTACAATTAACATTTCAATTTGAAATATGAATCTCCACTTTATGAGTTCAGGAACACTTTAACCACTTGTATAGCCGATATACAGCTTTAGTGCTGCTTTCTAGATCTGGGAGGGCGCCCCTGGACTCACATGCACGCATCCCATGTGCCCCCTGGGGTATCAGGAGCTTTCTGAGACCGCTGAGTGCCTTTGACACATCGGATCACAGATCGCAATAAAGGGCCAATCACAGCAATCTTTTATTATGTGATCAGCTGTGTCCAATCACAGCTGTCACAGTGTAAACATACAGAATTCTTTTGCTGGTTATTGGCTCTCCTTTCCTCACACAGAGACAGTGTGTAAGGAAAGGAGAGACGATCTGTGTAGGATCACAGAGTGTGTTTACATACTGTGATTTTTACACAGTATGTAAACACAAAGTGCAGCCACATCAGGGCCCTGATCACCCACACCAGTCATCCACACCAGTGCAGCCACATCAATGTCCTAATCAGCCATGCCAGTGCAGCCTCATCAGTGCCCTGATCAGCCACACCAGTCATCCACATCAGTGCAGCTTCATCAATGTCCTAATCAACCATGCCAGTGCAGCCTCATCAGTGTTATGAGTCTACTTTCCAAAAGAGAGGTCATTTGGGGGGGGGGGTATTTGTACTGCCCTGGCATTTTAGGGCCTCAAGAAATGAGATAGGCAGTCAGTACATTAGAACTGATCAATTATATATGTATATGATCAAATATATATACAGTATATACCATAGCTTGTAATCTCTATAACTTTCACACAGGCTAAATGAAATACCCTGATTTGGGTTTTTTTTTACTAAAGAAATATAGCAGATTAAATATTGGTTCAAATTTATGAAGCATGATTACTTATTTGCTGAATTTTATAACAGAAACTAAGAGACGTTTTTTTTTCCAAATTTTTTTGGTATTTTTTCATTTATATAGCAAAAAATGAAAAATGCAGTGGCGATTAAGTACCACCAAAGTAAAGCTTTATCTGCCTCAAACAAAAATTTAATTGGGTATAGTGTTGCATGGCTGTGTAATTGTCATTCAAAATGTAACAGCACTGAAATACCTGTTGATTGCCATTTTCACTCACCAGGGACCCGAGAAAGAGCTCTTTAAAAGAGAGGTATGGCCAAAGCTTTCTTGGCCATACATCTGTAGTGGGTTACAGGAGTGTACTTACTTTTGCTCTCCTGTGACCCAGTGTCAGCTGAGAGTGAGCCATTGTCAGTAAGTGATGGAAGAGCAGAGCAGAGAGCGGTGACTGACACCCTTTTCATATATATATATACTCACACCTCACACACACATACATGCAGAGTTTCTAGATAATAGAAAAAACTAGAAAGCTAGCAGAATTATTTCACCAGTGCTAGTTAAAATGTCATATTATTAGTTACTTAGAACCTATGCGTAAGTGATTAAGAACTGTAAAGTGTTAAAGATGGGCTAATGAATAAAAAACTGGCAAGCCGAGGTAGCTACATATACGTACAGTGGGAGGAATAGTGCCCCATCATTGGTGTCAGTGGGAGGAATAGTGTCCCCATTTGGTGTCAGTGGGAGGAATAGTGTCCCATCATTGGTGTCAGTGGGAGGAATATGCCCCATCAAATCAGTGGGGGGAATAGTGCCCCATCATTGTATCAGTGGGGGGAATAGTGCCCCATCATTGGTATCAGTGGGGGGGAATAGTGGCCCCATCATTGGTATCAGTGGGGAGGAATAGTGCCCCATCATTGGTATGAGTGGGAGGAATAGTACCCCATCATTGGTATCAGTGGGAGGAATAGTGCCCCATCATTGGTGTCAGTGGGAGGAATAGTGCCCCATCATTGGTGTCAGTGGGAGGAATAGTGCCCCATCATTGGTGTCAGTGGAAGGAATAGTGCCCCATCATTGGTATGAGTGGGAGGAATAGTGCCCCATCATTGGTATCAGTGGGAGGAATAGTGCCCCATCATTGGTGTCAGTGGGAGGAATAGTGCCCCATCATTGGTGTCAGTGGGAGGAATAGTGCCCCATCATTGGTGTCAGTGGGAGGAATAGTGCCCCATCATTGGTGTCAGTGGGAGGAATAGTGCCCCATCATTGGTATCAGTGGGAGGAATAGTGCCCCATCATTAGGTGTCAGTGGAAGGAATAGTGCCCCATCATTGGTATGAGTGGGAGGGATAGTGCCCCATCATTGGTGTCAGTGGAAGGAATAGTGCCCCATCATTGGTATGAGTGGGAGGAATAGTGCCCCATCATTGGTATGAGTGGGAGGAATAGTGCCCCATCATTGGTATGAGTGGGAGGAATAGTGCCCCATCATTGGTGTCAGTGGGAGGAATAGTGCCCCATCATTGGTATCAGTGGGAGGAATAGTGCCCCATCATTGGTATCAGTGGTGGGAGGAATAGTGCCCCATTCATTGGCATTATGTGGAAGGAATAGTGCCCCATCGTTGGTGTCAGTGGGGGGATAGAATAGTGCCCAAATCGTTGGTGTCAGTGGGGGGAGGAATAGTGCCCCATCGTTGGTGTCAGTGGGAGGAATAGGAATAGTGCCCCATCCTTGGTGTCAGTGGGGGGAGGAATAGTGCCCCATCGTTGTCAAGTCAGTGGGGGGAGGAATAGTGCCCCATCGTTGGTGTCAGTGGGGGGAGGAATAGTGCCCCATCGTTGGTGTCAGTGGGGGGAGGAATAGTGCCCCATCGTTGGTGTCAGTGGGGGGAGGAATAGTGCCCCATCGTTGGTGTCAGTGAGGGGAGGAATAGTGCCCCATCGTTGGTGTCAGTGGGGGGAGGAATAGTGTCCCATCTTTTTGGTATCAGTGAGGGGAGGAATAGTGCCCCATCGTTGGTGTCAGTGGGGGGAGGAATAGTGCCCCATCGTTGGTAATTAGTGACACAAATGATGGGGCACTATTCCTTCCACTGACACCAATGATACTTTACCTTGCTGGTATCAGTGGGAGGAATAGTGCCCCATCATTGGTATCAGTGGGAGGAATAGTGCCCCATCATTGTGCATTAGTGGAAGGAATAGTGCCCCATCGTTGGTGTCAGTGGGGGAGGAATTTAGTGCCCCATCGTTGGTGTCAGTGGGGGGAGGAATAGTGCCCCATCGTTGGTGTCAGTGGGGGGAGGAATAGTGCCCCATCGTTGGTGTCAGTGGGGGGAGGAATAGTGCCCCATCATTGGTGTCAGTGGGGGGAGGAAATAGTGCCCCATCGTTGGTGTCAGTGGGGGAGGAATAGTGTCCCATCGTTGGTATTAGTGGGGGGAGGAATAGTGCCCCATCGTTGGTGTCAGTGGGGGGAGGAATAGTGCCCCATCGTTGGTGTCAGTGGGGGGAGGAATAGTGCCCCATCATTGGTGTCAGTGAGGGGAGGAATAGTGCCCCATCGTTGGTGTCAGTGGGGGGAGGAATAGTGTCCCATCGTTGGTATTAGTGAGGGGAGGAATAGTGCCCCATCGTTGGTGTCAGTGGGGGGAGGAATAGTGCCCCATCGTTGGTATTAGTGACACAAATGATGGGGCACTATTCCTTCCACTGACACCAATGATACTTACCTTGCTGACTCCTGCTCCAGCCTGGGCTCGCTCTCTCCCTTCCCATCTACAGCCTGCATACCTGGCTGCAGCAGCAAAATTTGCACTTACCTGTCAGCTGTCTTCCTTCTCTGGCCTCTTTCTTCACTCGTTCCTGCAGCTCCCTCGATCTTCTTCGATCTCCCGCGCGCTGCCGCTCGGCTCCTCCTCTCCAAGCTCCACCTTCTCGCCGGTGATTGGCCGCCTGTGTGCCTCTCCTGAGCTACAGTTCCGGTGGCCAATCAGCGGCGAGGAGGCGGTGACAGGGGCAGCATATCATCCCGCCCACACATCGCCGGAGACAGCAGCGGTGTCTTGGTTCCTAAGACCATCGGAAATATGTGTTTTCCGATGGTCTTAGGCGACCCCTGGGAAATGGTCGTTCAACCCCCAAAGGGGTCGCGACCCCCAGGTTGAGAACCGCTGGTATAGGTGTTATAGTCATCAGCAAATAATGCACCAGACTGGGACCCAGGAACAGTCCAAGCAGGTTCGCTCTGCACTTTTGTTCAACAAAACAGCAAATAAACACCCTTTTAATGGGTAAGGCTTCATACGGCATGCCCAAAGCATAAAAAACCCAAAATATCTGCTCGCCAAGACGCAAATTAAACTCAGATCAGTTTGTGCGCTCCTAATGGGTTCCCCAAAACAAACAAGCAGCATTTGTACTTATTATAGTATTCTGTTAGCACTCAGCCTTTTCTCCCAGCAGCAGCAGCAGGCTCTTACAGCAAGAGAGAGAAAGCGCTGAACATCACGCAGCTCACATATAAAAAAAGCCTGTGAACAGCTAGGATCAGTAATGAGGTCTAAGCACCAATTAACATATGGACCCTGGAAAGGGGGCTTTTTTTCCAGAAAAACCTTTCTAAAAAGCCTTCCTGCAAAACTAACAGAAACACTGACACAAAGTGGCTGAATGCCTCCTATGAATAGGAACTGAATCCAAATTTAATATTACTATCAATAATCCAGCTCTGAGGAAGAAGGGACCCCCCTTCGAAACGTGTTAGCTTGACCAAGAGTTTATCTCCCTTCCGGATGGAACTCGCACGTGACTTTTAACCCTGTGTTGGCTATGGATATTATATGCCTTTTTTTTTACTGCTACTCTTGTGAGTATAATTTATTAATAAATACATGCACTGTTTACTGAGGTAATACGCAAGGTTGGTGCGCTCTTTTCTTTTGTTCTTTACTACTTTCTAAAAAGCCTCCAGGCTCCAGGGCACAGAATAGATTCTGAGAAAACAAAAAGTATGTTTACAGAAATTTTTGATTACTCACAGTGGCACAGCATTGCAACAGCAGATTACTTGACATTGTCTCAGTTTAATGTCTTGGTGCGATAAAGCAATGTTCCAGGCTTAGCCTGATTTACCAGAGAATGTTGTCTGCTGGAGGGAGGGTATATAAAACTGCGGCACGCTATTATGCTGATGAGATCCCCAGATTTTGACCAGATACCGGAATGCCTGAAGAGAGATCAGAGGTGTCCCTGCATTGGCCTCTTCCCCACAACCCTGGGCAGTGGTTGCAGGGGTCTTCGGGGGGGGCTTATCAGAAACTGGAAGTCCCCTTTAACAAGGGGGCCCCCAGATCTCAGCCCCCCATGTACAATAGTATGGGGTATATAGCAGGGGTTAAAATTTTGAGTCCAGACCTACTAGCCGGTCACAAAACTTACTCTCCACCAGTTGCCCCACCCAACCTTGTCCAGGCCTGCTTCCAACCCCACCCCCAGCACACCCCCAACTCTGCCCCCAACAACGCCCCCTAAAAGCTTATGATATTACATTTTTCTTTAGAATAAAGAGTCCAAAATATAAAACTGTACACAGTAATGTATATCCCAGCTTCCCTGTACTCCATTATAGTGATATGACATGTATACAGTAATGTATATCCCAGCTCCCCTGTACTCCATTATAGTGATATGACATGTATACAGTAATGTATATCCCAGCTCCCCTGTACTCCATTATAGTGATATTATGACATGTATACAGTAATGTATATCCCAGCTCCCCTGTACTCCATTATAGTGATATGACATGTATACAGTATGTATATCCCAGCTCCCCTGTACTCCATTATAGTGATATGACATGTATACAGTAATGTATATCCCAGCTCCCCTGTACTCCATTATAGTGATATGACATGTATACAGTATGTATATCCCCCTCCCCTGTACTCCATTATAGTGATATGACATGCATACAGTAATGTATATCCCAGCTCCCCTGTACTCCATTATAGTGATATGACATGTATACAGTAATGTATATCCCCCTCCCCTGTACTCCATTATAGTGATATGACATGCATACAGTAATGTATATCCCAGCTCCCCTGTACTCCATTATAGTGATATGACATTCATACAGTAATGTATATCCCAGCTCCCCTGTACTCCATTATAGTGATGACATGTATACAGTAATGTATATCCCAGCTCCCCTGTACTCCATTATAGTGATATGACATGCATACAGTATGTATATCCCAGCTCCCCTGTACTCCATTATAGTGATATGACATGTATACAGTAGTATGTATATCCCAGCTCCCCTGTACTCCATTATAGTGATATGACATGCATACACTAATGTATATCCCAGCTCCCCTGTACTCCATTATAGTGATATGACATGTATACAGTAATGTATATCCCCCCTCCCCTGTACTCCATTATAGTGATATGACATGTATACAGTAATGTATATCCCCCTCCCCTGTACTCCATTATAGTGATATGACATGCATACAGTAATGTATATCCCAGCTCCCCTGTACTCCATTATAGTGATATGACATGTATACAGTAATGTATATCCCAGCTCCCCTGTACTACTCCATTATAGTGATATGACATGTATACAGTCATGTATATCCCAGCTCCCCTGTACTCCATTATAGTGATATGACATGTATACAGTAATGTATATCCTAGCTCCTCTGTACTCCATTATAGTGATATGACATGTATACAGTAATCTATATCCCAGCTCCCCTGTACTCCATTATAGTGATATGACATGTATACAGTAATGTATATCCCAGCTCCCCTGTACTGCATTATAGTGATATGACATGTATACAGTAACCATTACTGTATACATGTCATCACTATAATGGAGTACAGAGAAGCTGGGATATACATTACTGTATGCATGTCATATCACTATAATGGAGTACAGGGGAGCTGGGATATACATTACTGAGTAAAGTACATCCCAGCTCCCCTGTACTCCATTATAGTGATATGACATGTTGTATACAGTACTTACTCCTAGTCCCCCCAAGTCCCCCGCAGCGGTGGAGAGGGTGTCTCCTCTCAGTGGAGGAGAGCGGACCTCTCCTGCACCTGTCCCCCTCAGTGGCGGTGCCGAAGAAGCCGGACACCGGAAGTTGTAAATCGGAACTAGGCTTCACAAAGAGGCTTGGAGCGCAGGTGCAGTCACTCCATGCTTCATCTGTGCTCACCGCTCGCCACAGAGGAATTTCTCCTCTCATTTGGCGAGCGGGGCGAGCGGCTTTTTCAAGCCCTGTAGTACCCCTTCTTATTCACCAAAAAGTGTCAAAATGACCCCGCCTACCTGCATGAAAAAAAAAAAAAAAAACACCGAACACGGATGAATGACAGGTAAACATGGGGGTGGGGTCACTTGGTGACCTAACTGAGTAAGCCCGCCCCCATGTTTACCTATCATTCGGTGACTGTCCCATTGAGAGAAAAGACACTCGCCAATTACAGGTAAAAATGGGGTGGGGGTCACTGGGTGACCCTGCCCCCCATGTTTACCTGTTATTTGGCGAATGACAAAACACGGGACCTGTCGTGTTCAGCGGGCGGCAGGTATTTTTGATTTCTTTGTGCAGGTTGGTGTTAATCGTGATTGATGTTGGATCTACTTCAGGGGACATTTAATTTTTAGGGTGGGGGTTTTATCAATAAAGGGCTTGTCAAAAGCTGTTTCTATATTTTTTTTTTTTACTTTTGACACTTTTTTGGTATTAGGTATTCCATATTCATTCACATGGGGGGGTCAGGATCTGGGGGTTTCCAGATTTTGATAAGCCCCAATTACAGACCCCCACAACCACTGCCCAGGGTTGTGGAGAAGAGGCCATTGTCCTCATCAACATGGGGACAAGGTGTTTTGGGGGCACCCCTCCATATTGAGGGCCGCACACTCAACCCCCCCCCCCCCTTTTATGGCCTGCAGGGCTGCATGTTCCGATAAGAGTCTGTTATTTATTTTTTAAAACATTTTGGTGTAGGGTTCCCCTTAAAATCCATACCAGATCTAAGGATCTTGTATGGATTTTGGATTTTTTTTTTGGTGTGGGGTTCCCATTGAATTCCATACCAGACCTAAGGATCTGGTATGGATACATTTTTTTAAATTATGGTATGAGGTTTCCTTCAAAACCAATACCGGACCTAAAGGGCCTGGTGTGGAGTTGGGTGGGGGGACCCCCATGCTGTTTTTTTTTCTTTAACCAGAACTTCTTTTGTTTACATTCTGTTGTCCTCTGGGAATCCCACTGACAGCAGATGTTCAATTAATCAATGCATCCGAAAGTGAAACTAAACTTTCTGGCATGCACAGCCAGTGAATCCTAGAACAGCCCAAAGTAATTATAAACTGCTCCACTGATTACAGGGGAGCCAAAAAGACTAAATTTACCTAACCTTTCTAGAAAACTATCTAGGAGGGTTCTACACAGAGGTAGACATCCTTGTCACTACTTGTTAAGGATGCTGTTGACTTCACAGCCAACAGCTTCCGTGCAACCCGTGATTCTCCAGTGGGGGAGCTTGATGGGGAAGCTGAGACAGTAGTTCCCCATCAGGTCTGCTCTCTTGTAATTGACAGAAGTGGGTGGAAGTATCCACCATCTATCTGCTTACAAGGGGAGGTGCAAATACCAAGTGCAATGAGGTTCCAGGGGATATGTAAATA